GAATAAAAAAGATTCATAGGCAGTTTTCAACTTCGTCGATTGTGCAAGCGTCGTCAGATCGATTGTCACATAAAAGTATCGAACCGATTTTTGTTTCGGAAAAAAATTGACGAAAAATAGTACAATTTACGGAAACAGCAATGAAACAACGTCGCGAGAAACACGAAGCTCACGAGTTGGGATTAAACTTTCTAATGAATGAACCGTAGTCTTGGCTGAGTAATGTAACGCGCCGCAGAGTTGCGTATAATTAATGGCTGCGAGTTTAAAAGACAACTTTGCGCGATTAAGCAACGCGATACACACTTGCTATTCGCGTGTAAAGAATGGAATGTCACGAACAAATTTTCAGGATCTCTCATTGAGAGAGCCTTTGAATTTCAATGCAAACAAAAATAAAGCTGCTTCTCGAGACTTTTTTTATGAAATTCTTTCAAGTGCCGAACATTAAGTGCCTCTCCTCCAAATTTTATTTCTTTTCTAAAGTGCGACGGGTGAAAGAATTGGTCCCTCGTTTACCGGAATTCCACAAAGTATATATTTTACGCACATTTAATTTCGACGAATGAATAATTTTCTGAGCGACACGACTCGAGATTTTGAGAAACGTGGGCAAAGTAACAAATATGTCATATCCGATGTTCATTTCGCCTGTGTTTCATACAAGGCAGGAACGCTTACGTTAATGAAATCCGTTCGTGGAAGATCCCCTCGTAAAAGCTAGTGAAGAAGACCGCCTAGAGGTAAAAAGTGCTGACGAAATTAAAAGCTGTTACTCCCGGATCTCTTGACGTTTCGCTTGACGTATATATAACTTTTCTCCGTTTAAATATTTCCGCAAGCGTTTAGTTATTTAAATTTATAATTAAGACTAATAAAATTTTCTCTCAAACGTTCATTAAATTTTTAATAAGAGAATCTTTTTTTCGGAAATTAAAAAAAATTATATTTCATTAGAATATTAAAAATTCTATGCGTATGGTATAACAAAAAATTAATCCGGAAAGATAATAATGATAATAAATTTTGTTATATTCCGAAAGAGATAGGTGAATAGAGAATGAGAAATGTCGGCACAATAGGGTAATAAATATGTGTTACGCAATTATTTTAAAAATGTGATAAGAAGCCCATTGAAAGCACACGAGCAAGACATTTTATACCCCGTTAATACGAGCGATTCGTGCGACACATAACATCCTTTCACGGAGACATCGCACGTGAATTAATCACATCTGTTTGCATTGTAAGTGATACGACTTCTCGTTGACACGATTCGTCACGCGAATGTAAACTGAGAATCACCGCGGAAGCCGCTCTTATGCTTCGTTAAAAAAAATCGCGGCTCGCGTAGAGAATTTAATTATCCGGGATTATTAAATTCCCTACAGTCGGGAATTAATTACGTCAACGTTGATAAGACTCGACGACTTTCGCGTAAGAATTTCCGCAGACGGGTTTTAAAGAAACCCTCCCGTCGCGTTGCCCGTGTGTACATATATATATATATATATATATATATATATATATATATATCGCGTCATTATTTCGCTGTCTCGTTCCCGGAGCAGTGATAAAACTCTAATAGCGCGGTTATACAGCACGATTCTGTGTGCACTTCCTCGCGCGGAGTTCGCTCTGGATGCTGCCTCTCCTCATTTATTTCTCCTCCTGTCGGAGTACTTCCCGTCTTATCGCAAAAATCAGTAATTAAGTTACGTTTCCCTCGATACTCTCGCCGAACACGAACGCGCGATGGAACGATTTCGAGAGATGGCAACCCCTGTTTTTAGCTCGCGGCGAGGAGGGAGAAGGCGCATCTCTTATTAAATCTCGGCGCGGAATTATTATTAAACATCGCGGCTACTATCCGTCGTAGGATCGTTCGAGACGCACGTTTCGCATAGGGTTTACTCAATGTTCCCGGCCATGCGTGTTTCGCCTATCTAAAGCCAAGAGTAGAGAACTCTCGCGCTCGCGCACGCGTGGGATTTATTAATTTCCGGATTGTATACGGTCTTCATTTCTCCGCTCTCGCGCCTTCCACACAAACGCAATTTCATAAATTAATATCGAACGCAATTTCCTCCGCACTTCGGGGCTAAACGCCGAGATCGGGCATCGAATATGATTATAGATTCAGAAACGCGCGCGAGCTTTTCTCTCGTCGTGCGCTCTTTCACCCGTTCAATTAGAGTTGCGCAGGAATGGCAAAAAGGGCTGTTTTAGTCTCGTTATCTTTGGTCCTGCATTTAACAAAGAAAAAGAGCGGTCAAAGCGGGATTTATAGTACGAAGCGTTTTAACGACGTTTTCACGCCGCGCCGCTCCGCTTTGGAAAGATAAATTGCGGAGCCGATGCTCGCGAGTCTGTTTTTTTATCGATTCTCCGATGTTCTATGGAAAATATTGCTGTTCCGAAATTTGTAACAATAGCGAAAATATAAATCATATAAACGTAATCGTCATTCAAATAATAAATTGAAAAGGCACCAATATATAAATACAAATTTAGGTATGAAAAGGGCCAGTGAGAGCCAGTCACAATTATTGAGTGCGATAAAATTATTGTTATTATTTATCTCAAAAATAATTTTGAATGTATAATATTTATTATTGTATAAAATTATTATTTACGCATTTCTGCGAAATTACATCGCGCAATATTTTAATTGCATTCGCGCGTTTTCACGAGAGCACATATTTTCGAAATATAAAGGAGACAAGGTATCGTACTTTCTCTTTCTCATATTCTCGTTTCTTTATCTCGATGATACGGAAGTTGATGGGACACGCCGCACAGTTCGAATTATCTGCAAACTCTATTCCGGCAGAATCGTCCTCGTGGAATTCCCTAGCGTATCTCGAGATATTGATTTTGCGACACGATTTGCCGGAGATGTCCACAGCGTCGCGCGCCCTCGGGAAATAAATCCGCGGGGACGAAAGGAAGGAAACGTGAGAAATCGCATTTGGTAAGTTTCCGCGGGACTTATCTGTCATTTTGTCGATTATGGAAAATCGGCCAGCTCATCTGTCACGTCGGCGAGAAGTACGTGTATAACCGAAGAGAAAAGTGGCGGCGAAAAAGGAAAAAGTTACGCGACAAAGTGAAATAGATTAATTATGTGGAGCGACTCGCGAGGGGTGAAAAGAAAAAAAAAAAAAAAAAAGACGCGAACGATCTCTCGGGAAAGATCGGTAACTCGGCATGAATAATCAAGAGACTCGCATTAAACCGGAAAATATTCTCGCCGTTCACCGTCGTCTTATGCTACCGCTTATTGATTTTCGCTGATGCTACTTCACTATCTACTCGTCGTTTGATGGCCAACCGAGGCGATTATTTGCTTGTCAGATGATATTTTCAAATATATTCATAACTTATGAAAAATGTCAATCAATAGTCTCTAGAGAAAGTTCGTACTCATCGTATTAATTTTTTTCTTCTCTTTCCACTTATAAATAAGGGAAGGTCTAAAAAATCTGAAACGGCTTAAGAATATTTTCTTCGGCTCTCGTAGATGTCTTCTTAGCTCGGCCGCCGAGACACCTTTGAGTGGCGGTTTGGTGACGGCGTGCAAAATTTTGTTCAGGCAAAACCAGTTCGTCGTAAATCACGAAAGGCGTGAACACAATGACGGTCGATATATATAATTCACGCGATTGCGAGATATCGGAAAATCTCGGAGACCGCGTCGAGTTGTATATCTAATGTCGTCTTAAATATAAAATAAATAAACAATGAAAGGGCTACGCGCCGCCTAGGCGCCTAACAAATCCGAGATCTTAATGGAGTTAGAGAGAACGTTCGACGATGATTTAGATAGGGTCATTTTACGACGGCCTGAATTAATGACCGCGTGTCGTTCGACTTTATATATATGTATATGTATAATACTTTTCGTTTTACAGTTCACTCGAGCGTGTTGCATTCCTGCCGATTAATCCCTCGTAGTTGCATAATATATTCATATGAGACTTAATTATAATAATTTAATTAAAATTAATAATTAAATGCTAATTAAGCTGCATTATGAAATTGTAATTAAATTATAATCATGCAGTTTAGTTCGCGCGGCATTAATCAATCAATCATCCGTAATTTGCAAAAAGCTGCGATGAGAGAGAGAGAGAAAAAAAGAAATCAACGCAATATGACATCTTGCTCAGATTTAATAATGAAAACGGAGTTTTCAATTTTAGGCCGAGTTAGTTTTTCGAAGGGGACGAGAACGCGAGGCTTTGACAGGGACTGTGAAGAAAATTCGCGGGTATTAAGGTCGACGTCCATATTGATGAAGGTCCTCGAACAATAACGGACCGATCGTTAAATCCGAACGAGCGTAATAAAGCGACCGGCTGATACGCGGTAAAATCCGAGTTATCGTTTATTTCTACATCTTTCTCACTAATATTGATCTTAACGTCACGCAGTTCGCGTCGGTCATCCTTTATCGAGACGTATAAAATGACAGAGATAAAGGCTTTAGTTATTTAAATTACAACGTTGCGTCTTTAGCTTATAGGCTTTTCGGCGTGCTTTTTTAAAGTCACCGCCGTCTCTTCATTATTCGGCCCAACGAACTTGATGCGATAACTTAGACGACAGCCCTCGCACAAGTAGCGTCTCTTAAGCCGCCCGACTATTGCCTAAATAACTCGCGTCCAAGTCGGTAAGATAATACGAATGATTGGCGGTCCACACTCTCGGTCCCCTCAAAAGAGACAGTTAATGTTTCTGTAGTCAGCAGACTGGAAGAGAGAGAGGGCGAGAAAGCGTACTATCAGCGGAAAGAAAGTTACGTGATAAAAATATCACGACGTACAAAATGAACTTTCTCGTCGAAGGGCCGAAGAAAGAAACTGTGACAAAAAGTTTCGAGAAGTTAAAATAAAAAAAAAAAAAAATTCAAAGTAGAGGAAACAATCGCGCACATCATAAAAAAAAATTATTTTCTGTTCTATTTACTGAGATCGTTTGTTCACGTTCTGTTGCAGGTAACAACGATACCGGACGAGGGCGAGGATAATTTCAAAATGCCCAGGGCTTCCGTGGTACACATGGCATCGACGGCGACGAGACCGCAGCACATGTCACAGGTATAATATATATATCTACATGTTATCATTTTAAGAAGATGTCATCAAGTTGGGAAGATAATGGTAAAATTATTCTTATATCGTTCAGCGGGATTTAAAAAAAACGAGTACCTCATATATCGCGCGAATATCCCTTTATACGGGGTGTCTCAGACCGTATACGACGAATATTTTGAAAAGAAGACACATGAGAATGGTAAGAAATGGCCTGTCGAAGGGACGCGGCTTCGGCGTATCTAATCCTCGAATGGCCGTCGAATTTACGACGACCATGAGTACTTTTACCCGAGTATTCTCCAGCGATTTACCCTCATACGCCCCTATTGCGCGACGTACTCCTTAAATAATCCGGCGCGATGAATCTTTTCCTCCTTGGCAAAAGGCCATATTGATATGCAACCACCGAAGATAGCAACGAGCGTAATTGAGTGGTCCGGTTTAAAATGAATATCGAGGAAGGTCAGGAAGAGACGAAGGGATCTGTTGTTAGGAAAAAAACTGTCATATACACCCACGTATATACAGGATGTCCCAAATACCGTATCACATGTTAATGAGAGATTTGGAGACGATTTTTCTTCAGCGAGAAATAAGGTAATCATTTTTTTAATGTTCCCAATTTTTGAAATCATGTATCTTTGTAACTATAAGCCTTAGATTAAAATTTTGTTAAAGTAAACTTTACCTGACAATTAACTAAAATTTGTAGTATTGTTAATAATTTATTTTGACAAGGCTTAGTTTACAAGGCTTTTATATTTTCAATCGTTATAACTCGAAAATTATTGATGCCTGAACATTTTCGCTGTGGAAAAATCGTCTCCAAGTCGCCTCAGGAATCTCACCCCATTAACGTGTGATACGGCAGATCTAGGACACCCTGTATACATACTCGGTGCGCACTTAACACGACACCAGACCGACCATCCTCATAATCGTATAAGCGGCGGGACGACTTTTAAAGCCCCTTTTTTCTCTTCCGTCTCTCTTTCTCTCGCCTTCCTTCACCCATGGTCGGCTAATAGTTTTAAACTAATGGCTCCGCCGGGCTAACTTCGACCCGATGCACATCCCCGCGCTTGCGGAACCACCACCCCGAATATTCGCACGGCTCGATGCAAACGAGCTTTTAACGTCGCATCCGCGCGAGAGGAAGAGAAACGCGCGCAGAAGAAGTGTACTGAAAGAAATATGCCGAGAAATCATATCGCCAGATGCGAGCGGAAGCGAAATTCTTACGTTCGGAAAAGAGGGAGAGAGATACGCTGCCCTGCATAGAAATTTTCCGAGATTTTTTCAGATAACATATAGATTACGAATATCGTATTACGATACTGATTAAAAATTCCATTTATATTTCATATATGAGTTTTCAATTTAGAATTGAAACGACTGCGAAAATCCGTACCTTTTTGTTTTAAGCAGAATGGTTAAGTAAAATTGGTACAGAGTTTTACAAAATTGGAAAAGAAATCTCATTTTTATATCGCAGCTATTGAATCTGTTCAATAGAATAAAAAATAAAAGTATATTGGGTTCTTTATTTTTATCCCTATATCACATCGATTCTCTCGCATTTAAATTTCCGACTGGATATGGAATATGCAAAAGTGCAGTTTCTAATCGTTTAAGATAAAAAATGTTAATATCGATTCAAATTTTTAATTCTATAAAAGAATACAAAATCTGTAACTAATTTTTCAGCTGTATTTGACTAATCCAGAGCTTCAAAAAAAAAAAAAAATTAAATATCGATCACTGCTAATTAATAGAAATAATATATTGTAATAAAATTAAAAAAAAAAAACATTTGAAAAAGCAGTATGTAGCATTTGCTTGGATTTTTCGAGTTAGAATCGCGTTTCTAAAAAAATATTACACTTTACCAGAATCCGATAATTCTTTTGGAAGATCTGAGCAAATTGTAATTAAATCCCACGGAAGCTTTTCTATCAAACGTAAATTCTCACGTCGCGTCGCGCCCGATGATCGTGCGCGTTTTTCTTCAACTCGTTAAGATTCCTCGCTCGCGTCATTAATATAGAAACCGTTTGCCTCATCGTCTCGCGGATGATGCAAATACCGCATACTATACAGATAAATGCCGCTCGTATACTCAAAACGTCTCTTAAACCATAATTAATATTCCAAATTCTCCGCCACCGCTCTAAAACAAACAGGAAACTTATTGCCGCTCATTACCGTTTGGCCAACGTTTTCCTGAATGCGCCATTCATCGAGCGGCGCGTCTCGATAATTAGTCGAAGAAAGCGACTCGTAAACTTATGTCCATTATCCGCCGTTTGCGGTTCGCGCACGTCGCGTTTTACGAATAATTAAGATCGACAGCATCCGACGCGTGTTCTATCCGCCAGTTTTGCTCCAGCTGGCGATCGATCACTCGAAATAAAAAAGTTAACCAAAGAAATTGTTTTAAGAAAATATTTAACGAGACACTACGAATTATTAAATTACGCCAAGTGTCATTTATTTGAAATTATAACTCGAATTCTCGCGAATAAGTTCAACTCGATAGTATTAGATCAAAAGCGAGTCTTTATAATCGCGCGGAGTTACATTTTTGATTGTGTTATAATTTTCACACGATCAAAGAGAGGAAGGAAAAAAAAGACGACAAAGAAGGGCTAATTGCAAAGCGGCGCTTGAGGCAACCCACGCATTTATTGTCCGGGAGAGATAACGATATCGTGCGCCTCTTTGGTGAGAAAGATAGAAAGGTTACACGGCGACACTAATCGCTTATTACGAACTCGCTTCTAACGGCGAGCGAGATAATTGAAAGTGCATGCAAATTTATGTGGGATCGGCGCTCGAAATTCCTTATCGAGCGCGCGTTTGCTACGAATATATGTAAGTCAGCGGGTCATCGCACCATCGACACTTTGGTCGCTAAATTTTATGTCTCTACATTTTATTGACGAAAGATTAGAGTTTAATATAAAATATCAGTGAACTTTTTATCGCGCGAGTATAACGCAATTTTATGTCGATAGAGTCAGCGCGCTGCGTTTTGTGGAATGAGATAAATAATATATACATAGATAAATTGTTCAACATTCACTTGAACCAGTAAAGATCGAGTAATTAATATTATACAGGGTGTCGCATAATATGAGAAATATGAGGGTTTCACTTCAGAAATGCATTTAACGCATTATAAAATTATATATCAGATTCGATCTTATTTCTGCATTATAATAAATTTTGTATTTTAACAAATCTGCTTAAGACAAGATATCTGAAAGAGTTGTCAAATTTAGCAAAAAAACAAAAAAAAAAAAAAAACGATAAAACAATTGTAAAATATAGTATCTTTCTCTCTCGTTATCATTAGATATTATAATTATTTTTATCACTGTAAAAAGATACTTATTTCATATTCAAACGCATCTCTCGAATTTTCTCCCGCAAATTCATTCCTCTGCACGAAATTATACCGTTGTTTACCCGGGAAAATGATACGCAGAATGCACACGGGACAAACTTACATGCACCATTGTCGTGCGAAGGATGCACATAACGTCAATGTACGTGTTACTTTGAAATAGCTTTTGTACATGTGTCTGTACGTGTATGTATACATAAACGCGGGCCACGCGAAATGTTTAGTATTCCTCGCGTGGGGCCAAGCCCAGCTTTCAATTTGCGGCTAGCAATTTGTTCGTCGGTTGGCAGTGCGAATTCGTAGCGATGCGAGCTCCAGATATATGTATATATCACTGTAGACCGTAGCATCATAAAGCACGGTGGATAAATTTATACCTAGCGTCGCTGTTTTCCGCAATTCAGAACTCTCTAACAAGTTACACGATTATTATATACATGTGTTAAGAGATGAAACGAAGTTTGTGTGTTAAAATAGAAAATTGATAAAAAGAAACTCAAATAATAAATCGAAAAGGTTTTGATATATAAATATAAATTCAGGTATGAGATCTTTGAGTTTCTTTTCAAGTACGAAAAGAACTAGTGTAAGAGTCGGATACAGATATTAGATGCAATAAAATTATTTTTAAATCCCTCTATATTTGGTTTGAACGTTTCGGTCCTTCTTTTTTATTAGCAAAAAGTTTTTTTATTAATTGATATGTTGAGGATGGTTGTTTAAAGGCATTTAAAAATAATTTTATTACACATAATATCTGCTCTTGCTAACCTTTTTCATACCTGAAAAAACTCAGATCTTTATATTTTTATATCGATACATTGGCAGGTATTTTTAAATATAAAATCGAGGTAGAAAAGAAAATACTTTTAATATTGAAAATATGCGAGTAAAATGCAAATAGAAATATTATCCACAACGTTGAATCGTTGAAATGGGAGTCACAGATTCCTTTCGACACCTTGCAATTTTCTGATCTTTATAGAGCGGTATGCGCGGCTACAAAGAATCAAGTAAAAGGAAACATGAGCGTAAATTTCGCATACCCGGTGATGTAAATAAACCAAGTTAACGCATACGCCGCATGCCTACATAACTTCTCTCTCTCTAGCATCAGCGTAAAAAGACGGTGGATAATTCACGCTTGAGTTCATCAAAATTATTTCGTTTATCTCGATAGGTTCTGGCGACTCTGGCATTATCTATGGGAACTCTTTCCTCCGGTTTGGCCAAGGGTTATACCTCGCCAGCGTTGGATTCAATTTTGGATAATCAGCGACCGCATCTTTATCAATCGTCCAACAATGACACGTGGTAAGAATTTTCGTAAAAATTTATTTGACAAGATAAGCAAATATTTTAATAATATATACGCTGTGGGGTCGGTAAAAAATATATATCAAGTTTCGGATTTCGATTCGAAATATCGACACAAACGATCGAATAAAGTTTACAGCTGCCTTTGATAGCTTACGCTCCTGGTGGCTAATTCCGGGATGCGCCTATTTGCGAGAACAACACGCGAGAGCTTATTCTCTCTTTCTCTCTACTCGGAAGCTGTTCGCGAATAATACTCGACAGCCTAGACACCTCGACCAAGAGCGATTGCATTTGCACCTGACGTTTACCGATACCCCGATGCAACAACATTGCAGACGATAATATCGAAGGGTGGCTCTTCCTGAACGACGTCTGGATTATACGCCATTATGGGCAACGATTAATGCAATAATGTACCATGACGCGATCGTGATCGCGCTTTCGATTTGTCGCAGGGCGGCTTTCTCGGTTACGCAACAAGAAGCTTCGTGGGTCGCGTCGCTGTCGATGCTGGGCGCGTGGTTCGGCGCTATGATAGGCGACTGGATAATGCGACGAGGTCGACGGTTGGCTCTACGTGCTACATCTCTGCCCTTAGCGGCGGCCTGGATCTTGACAGGCGTCGCGCCGTGCGTGGAATTGGTCTACGTCACCAGTTTCATCGGCGGTCTTTGCTGCTCGGTTATCACTATGGTAGCTCAGGTAAAAAAAATAAATAAATAAAAACTCGATTGATCTTTGCCAATCGACGTGTTTCTTTCATGGCAGGTGTACATATCGGAAATCTCGATGCCGGGCATTCGTGGCTGTTTGTCGGCAATGTTGAAGGTCCTGGGTCACGTCGGTGTCCTGCTGTCGTACATAGCCGGTACATATCTGAATTGGCGGCAAAGCGCGCTACTGGTCGCCGTCGCGCCGTCGATGCTCTTTTTGGGGACCCTCTTTATACCCGAGACACCGTCGTACCTCGTACTCAACGGCAAAGACGACGAGGCGGCGCACAGTTTGCAATGGCTGCGCGGAGAACACGTCGACATACGACACGAGCTGCAGGTACGATTCCGAATCTCGCTAGCGAATCTCGATGCGAATATAAATAAATATTCACCACGTTCAATTCTCACGAATCGAAAGTATTTTCAATTCCCTGACGATTGAATGTACGTCTTCAGGTCATAAAAACCAACATTCTGGCTTCGAGGGCAAAGCAGTACGAGCTGAGTTTCAAGAACAGCGTGTTTACGCCGAGGCTGTACAAACCCATCGCTATCACGTGCGGCCTGATGTTCTTCCAGCGATTCTCCGGCGCGAATGCGTTTAATTACTACGCGGTACTCATCTTTCGTCAGACTCTGGGCGGGATGAATCCTCACGGAGCGACCATAGCAATCGGATTTGTGCAGCTCTTAGCCGCTTTACTGTCAGGTATTGATAATACTCGGTAAAACTACTAAATTTCTTATAGCGAATTCCGTTAATATATAATAAAGAAAATAAATAGAGAGTAAAATAAAATAGTCTCGCTTTCGCGTTAAAGATATTGCGTGTTTTGCTTAAGAAATCGTTTTATTTGCAGGATTCTTAATCGACATCGTCGGCAGGCTGCCGCTTCTGATAGCCAGCACCGTCTTCATGTCTCTGGCGCTCGCCGGCTTCGGCAGTTACGCGTATTACGTGTCGAAAACACCGAATTTGGGATACGTGGACTCGGCCGTGGTCGGCCAACACGACTGGATACCGTTGCTCTGCGTACTCGTATTTACGACCGCCCTTGCCCTGGGCATATCGCCAATTTCTTGGCTATTGATTGGCGAACTATTTCCTCTGGAGTACCGCGGTCTCGGCTCCAGCATTAGCACGAGTTTCAGCTACTTTTGCGCGTTTTTCGGCATTAAGCTCTTCATGGACTTTCAGCAGGTAAGCGTTTCGTTCTCCATTTAAAGTCGCCCGGATAAAATCGTACGAACTAAATTTTTAGTTTACGAGGAGCACATATACTAAGATATTTAAGACTTAATACTTGCATCTAAGTTTAATATCACCTATCATTAATATAGTAAATGTCCATGATTTCTTCCGTAAGTAATAACATAAAATCGCGAGAAAAAAATGATAAATTTGTTTCAGAGTCTCGGTCTACACGGAGCTTTCTGGTTTTACGCCGGCGTGGCAATCTGCGGATTATGCTTCGTGGTCTGCTGCGTACCGGAGACGAAGGGTAAACAGCTGGACGAGATGAACCCGGATTACGCGCAAGCCCGGTAGTATAAGGCCTCACTGACGGGGGGCCTCTCGAATCTGGAGAAGGCGAACAAGCCTTTACCGGGAGGCGCTTATCCGAACGAGCACGATCCGCGGGATCTCTACCGCGGCGGAAGTCGCGATCGGCCGGCGCTCGCGACTTCCGCCAGCGTCGCGATGCCGTCCGCGCGTGCCGCGCATCGCAAGCTCTCGGATTACTGCGGCATCTTCGCCGAGAAGACCAACAGGATCGGCAGAAACGTGGGCAGCTTCATGCAATCGCGGGGCCTCTTGCCGATTCGACGTTCGGTCGACGAGACGACGGCGGCGACGCGTCACGACGTTCCCGTCAACGGCGACGTGATCAGAAACGACCCTCCGATCATCCTGGAAATCGAAGCGAGGGAGAACCGTCGTCGGTGCGACGAGAATCGCGATTACGAGCGAGCACATGTGAGCGCGCCGAAGAAACACGTGGCCTACAACAGCCCGAACAGCACTTATCCGCGAAATGGACGGAGCAACGCGAGCTACGTTCATCGCGCTAACGAAACGGAACCTCGTCGCTCCAGGAGGCGCGAGTACGCGGAGGCGGATTACGACGCGATAAACGAGGCCTGGGGACGAATGGGAGGTCCGAGTATCTCCAAGCCGATTCTGCGAAACGGCATCAATCATAGCAGAGACGAGAGGCCGTATTACTCGACCATGCCACGACGCAGCAGGACCATCAACTTCAAGGATCAAGCATGCGACTCCCGGAGGGACGACGACGCGCGTATCCGAAGAGCTTGCAGGATTTAACGGATTTGGAACTCGACGACATTATGGGATATTTCCCGTCTTCTTCTTCTTCTTCCCGCGGTGGGCGACGAGAGGGCAAACTCGAAGATGATTATCGTCGACGCATTCGGGATCATCGAGAAGAGGACGAGTTTTTCTTCGACGACGATTATCTCAAACTCTGCCGGAACCTATCGAGATTGGACGAGTATCCGCAAGGCGGTAGATACCAGCCAGGTCAGGTGCATTACGAGAGAGAATGTAGAACTTTCGGCAAAGACACGGTCGCCTTCATCTACTACAAGACGTGCTACTTATGATCAAGAGAGAAACGCGATGCAAATCGGGAGCGATCGGGAGCTCTCTCGGCGATAGACCGTCCAACGATACGCACGGTTCACGATCTCACGCAGAAATCCAAATGGTCAGTCGGATACGTGTTTAACGAATGGCGAATGCAGCTTTCATTCGAGAAATCGGGTTGGATTTTTGTGAAACGGAATAAGTTAGCAAATCTATCGGCAGTAGACAAAAATTCCCTTCCTCGTCAGATTCATATCTTCTTGACGATAACATATCTTTCAATCATGGTATAAAACAATGCTCGTGGATAAAAAAAACAAAAATATAGAAAGAGAGAGAAAAATGATCGAGTAACCGAGTCACAAATTGCCTTCGTGTCTGGCTTTAATAATTAAATCATTTCTCGACTGATAATAAAGTTATATCATCGAGCTTTATATATATACACACATATATATATCGTTGCTCCTATATAACTTCTCTAAAAAAAGCGTAAAATCTCTTTAGAAAATATCCTAAATAAGTTAATCTTTGATTTTTTACGCGCTATAAATTGTTGTTCAAAAATATCTTACTTAGCATTTTATCTTCTCGAAATATTCTTAATTAATGGCAATTTTAAGAAATAATATTTAAAGACGGCATCAAAAAATATTTGTGCAGACTAGCGTTAGATTAATCACATAAAATCGCGTGCTTTATATTTGTTTTGTATTATATTAGTTTGTAGAGAAGTCATCGTTTTTTTCGTCAGTAAAAATGTTATATTGTTTGTTAATAAGTTTCGCAAATATTCGAAGCTCATTCAAGTCAAGAAGTAACATTTTCATACTTCTAATGAAAACACGATATAATATGTTACGCGAAGAGAAATGTGTATATAATGTATATAACGCGAGTAAACGATATTAACGGAATCTTTAGAATAGGATCAATAGACTGCTCGTAGACTGCCAAGCTGATCTTTTTGCAAAGTAGTCAGTATGTATTATGAATTTATAATAATTTCCGCTACTACGTTTTCAAACTATTAATGGTGCTCGCACACACAAATATATATATACATGTATGTATTTTCCTTTCGAGAAAATCGCGCGCGATAAGCCTTGAAAGAAAATTATTAAAGATATTTATATAGCCGAACATTATGCTACAATGTGTTATCAATCAAGATGCAATAGTATATTCTTGGTGAACAAAAACCAGAAATATATATCTTTCGCTAAATCAAATTATCAGAGTATTCCGGGGCCTCTTCGTAGCACAGGCGCCAATGACTTAACTATGACAATATCGATTTGTAGATACGTCTACATATATATTATATATATTATATTTCGTATAAGATGCGTATATTGCGTATATATTGATTATTGTATATTATATACATATGAGACTCTATTGTATTCATGGTACTTATCGTCGATAATTGCGACGATACAGATAAACAAATTCTCGACAATACCACAATTTGCCAATTTCGCCAAACCGCTAGAGCGAAAGAGAAATTTGGTACTATTAGCTTATTAAGAGATCATATATATATGTACCTTGCAACGTTGGAAAGCAATTATACTAAATATTCACAGATACAAGGGCGAGTATCTCTTATATCTGTAATTGATATTCACTATTACTCAAGGTCTTCTGCTTTCGAACATTTCCTGCATTTCTCTAAAATACAGCCATTCGAATGGCGCGATTAGACGAAAATCTCCGTAATGTACGTGTATTTTGTATTTTTATATAGTTTGTAGAACGAGATTGAGAGAGCAAGAGAGAAAAAAGGAGCCAGAGAGAGAGATAATATTCACGACGAAGTATCTATTAAAAGTTGACTACACTTTGTGGTTTAACAATTTGCACTTGTGATGGAGTGATAATCCTCGTGGAGGAAGATTTCTTCGAAATATCTTCGCCGCTATAAAACTGTGTGCCGTAAGAAAATTCCAAACTCGGTAATAATGAATTGAATTTGATGAGCTGAAATATACAATATAAAAAGGGAATCTTTCTTCGCGCGAATCGCAAAGCGGAAACTTTTCTCATATCTGTAATTATTAACTGCACCCGTGAGTCATATCCCTGCCATATCCGATTATATTATAACGAAGTGTATGAAAGTCTCGAAAGCGCATTAAGGATCCCTATACTTAAAATATTTTCGCGTGTTTTTTGTAGACAGTGATCGATCAATGTGGGGGAGGAAGAACTTGCGTTTGCGCGAACTATATCGATTCGTAAAATACATTCCACTTTTTATATACGCACGACGCGAGAAAAATATATACGATAAGCGAGGAAAATAATATTACCAGCGTCGAAATATTACATAAATTCGGAGGGCAACATATCATTTAAAAGAGAATATCTTAATACGATGGTTATCGTACATTACTGTCTACAAGAAGAAAGCATATATTATCTTCCTAAACATAAATATCTAACTCTATGTTACATAGAGTGTTCCGAAAAAAATATATATACATATGTGAATATATGTGATATATATATACATATATCAGCGCTAATGAAATTCTAATTAATATTTTATTGTAAAGAATTTTTTTTTAATACTATATGTGTATTATTTTTCCATTTTTTCATAAATATATATGTTAAGTATTTTGGTAATCAAATCATATATTTGATAGAAAATACAATTGCGTTATATATGTATAATTTCTTATACTTTGCAGACTTATAAATCAAAATTTATTTAATTAACATTTAAGAAATTCACCTAAGTAACATCTAATTAATATTTAAAAATATTCCAATTAAAAAAAAAGATATTTTAGTGTGAAATATATATTTCAAAACACTGTATACTCTTTACGATGCTCAAGGGCTTGGATACAGTATTGGGTAACTGTTTAGTCTGTAATTAGTTTTAACGCGATGTAACACGCTCGTGAAACGAGTGCGTGTAGGATAAACAATCAACTTCCAGATTTTACTTTATAGACTGTAATGACTCGATGAAATTAACTCTCGTTCTTACATAGTATATACCGCGCCGAATAAGCGAGCTTTACTATTGCCGAATGGCATAATGAATATATTATATTTGCGACCACACATTGCGTTAGATCTTCCATGTAAACGAAAATAAGAAGAACCGATATATATCTTCTCCTTTCCTTTCCCCCGTAGAAACGTTATAAACTACGTAAAACAAAAAAAAAACAAAAACGAAAAAAAAAAAACTAAAATCTGCACTGTGCACTTTCGTGAATTGAAAATTTGTCGTAAAATATGTAGCGGTAATAGTGAAATTTTCAGAATCAGAGATTTCGCATTACTGCATTTTAGTCTTCACGATAAAACCCGATAAATGGATATCTGTATTGTACATGCGAGTGTGTGCATCTGCTGCATCCTGAGACGAGAAACAATCTGTGTGTGTGAATGAGGGTGCGTGTAATTGTACAAAATAATGCGAACGTGATCGATAACAGCTTTTTAGATACCTATATATCGCGCGATATACTTTACTTACCCCTTTTACGCGGAACACGAATAATAAAATGTTAGAAAATCGCCGAAGACCGAAATTGAAATATTAAAATCCGCATTAGCGAATTAAAAACGCATACTTAGCACGTTGCAATCAAATTACGAGTAAAAATAGGGATTCAATCTAGGAAAAATCAAAATATGTTACAATATATATTTATTATCCTCAGATGTGAGGAAATGGCTTTTCCTCTGGAAAGAGAGAGAATCGCAAATTTTACGTATAATTCTACTTACCGACAATAAAACCACTATATGCAATTTATTGACAATAAATATATAATATTCAAATGAGAATTATAGCGCTGGCCGTCGCTAAGAGGATGATTATAAATCTTATATGTCATGTTATATATTGTCACGGATAATCAAATTAAACGAAACGTATTTTCAATGAAGGGAAAAAACAGAGAAAGAGAATAATAATATGGATAATATATAAATCTCAAGATATATATATAAATCAATAAATATTACACCGATTTATCTGTAACGGGCCACGTTTAACTTCGCTTGCTAGATTTAATATTTTTGTAATGATGCCTAGAGATATAGCTGTATTTGTATCTTTGTAGAGTTAATACTTACACTTTATTCTGCGTTTCCACGCGATGCGACGCGAAAACAACGCAAATAAATTACGGAGCGAAGCGTTTAATATTAGAATTATTTCTGTGCAAAAACTAATAAAAAGACTGTGCGTCGACATCTCGAGAAATACGGGCGCGCAATTCTATCATCGAATAGAAGATTATGATGGGCGAACACTTTTACTCTTTTCTTGCGATAAAACAAGAACACCAAGTAAGATGATTTCGTTCAATGAATTAATTTTAAGACCGGCCATTGTATTCGTTAATTAAAGTAATACGAGTAGCACAAAACTGTCAATACGACGACTTGCTTTAGAAGAGATATGCACTCAATTCTCTGGTGCAATATATATATACATATAAATATATATATTTACGTTACGGATAAGTACTTAAGTGATTTTGTTAGCGTCCGCGTTTACACCTCTCTCTAGAAATAACGAAAGATGTATTTAATGTACACGATCGCTAATGACACTTTCGGCGGAACTAACGAATCGCGTATTTGTATATACAGACCTATATACACATGTATAAACGCGAAAAAAAAAGACAAGTAATAAGAGAAAAAATATGTCTATCTGTTTAATACGCATTGCCCTAAAAAACTATCGATAAATAATAAAACAATATTAGAAGAACATGATTCTATATAAAATTTAATTTATGGAAAATTAAATTAGAAATGCAACAGCTTTTTTTATAAAAATTTAAATTATATATATATATATATATAATATCTGTGATATATTAGATTTCTTTAAAATGTTTCTTTATATATTTCCTTATATAAAATTTTCCTTGAAGATATTTAATATCTTCAAAATATATTTTTTGGCGATAAGATAGAGTTTTTAAAATTATATTATTTATGTGTGAGATAGTACAATTTACTAATTTTACTATTTCAATTAATACTTTAATATATTAAATTAGCTTTATAATATGTTTTCTCTTATGTCATAATGCTTTCTATAATTTTTTCATTAGAAATATGTATTCATTTTTGACACTGATAATGATGCCAATTTTTAAAAATATAAAAATTTATGTAATGATTTTTTCAATTAATTATTTAGTATCATAAATTGATTAATATATTTTCTCTTTTTTGAAACGTCGTGTGTATATGTATGCATTCTATAATTTTTTAAGAATTAGAAATATATATATATATATATATATATATATATAAATATATATATATATATATATATAATTTTCTGAAACTGATAATAAATTTTTGGAAATGTAAAATGTATGTATTTGATTTAAAAAAACTTAAAAGTGAATATTGTAAAATATAAAAACAAGGATCAGCTTATGTTTAATTAAATTAATTGATTTATAAAAAATAGTAAAAGAATTATAGATTTTCATGGTGCATACAACATACAACGGCCATCTATGCCAAATGCTATGTACTACTCGTTATAAGCAGCACGATACGAAACGCGCAAGAGACGAGGAAACGCAGACGCTAAATTAAAGAGGAAAATGCACTTACCAAGCTGCGGCACCGACATGTACGTCTCGCAATCCACCAGGAATTGCCCCACCTGTACCGCTCCAAGAGCGACGACTCTCTTCGTGAGAAACTCGATCGTCTGCGGTCCTGTCCGGTTCTCGGTCATCGGAAATTGCTGCAGTCTGTAAATCAACATATGTGCAAATTATTTTCTACTGACAAAAATGTTCGACAAAGATTTTCGATGCTTTACGATAAGAATGAAATGTACGAGAAACGAAATGGCACATGCTCGACATAACCTTAATAAAAGAGATGCGCATTAATATGTCGCGATACGTGTCGACCGAAAAACTGAGAACTTGTAACGCAACAAGTACTGAAACTTGAGCATTACTTACACGGTCACTCCCATCTTAAAGTCACGTTCCGTAACGTAAACGCAGAGAAAACGTTGCAAAACAGACCCGGCAGACACTTGTTTACACTCGCATTCACTTGTGTCGTCGAGACACGCGCGCGATTCGAAATGTCCGGTGAGCGACTTGGCCACGAATTAAATATAGTGAAGACGCGCGTGTTTGTGTAGAAGTTCGTGCTCACCATCGACCACACGAGCTGTGTTCTGATTTGATAATAACAAAGTTAGTACTTTTCTCATCGCAAATTCTCCCTCCAATGAAAAATAAATTCCATTCAATCAAAATTAGATGTATGAGAAATATATTAAAAATTTCAATATAACTATAATAATCTGTAAATGTGTTATGTGCATACATATATGTATATAAAGAATGCGGTTCTAACATTGAACCTATATATTATATGTTATTTATATAATAAAGTTTACACAAAATATAATTTTTTTGTTAAACACAGATGCACACACTACATACTTAGAATAGATGAAGTAAACATTTTAAATATATTTTTATTTAAATTTGAAAACTTCAAAACAAAAGTTCGGACATGGTTAAATATAATTTTAAAATTTACAATTTGCAAAAAAAAACTCGAACTTTATTCTAATAATATATTAAATTGCTAAATTTTAATATTTCATAATTTGTAACTCAAAGATTATTATTGTCAAATATTACAATTGGAAAAAAGTTGTGATAATTTAATAAATGTTCTATAATAGTTCTACTTTTTTTCTATTTTATATAACAGTCTTTTTTATTAAAAAAAGTATTAGTTAAAGAATCAATTACCAATTATATAAGCTCTTTTTTATTTGCTACTTCATTTTTTGTAATTTTTATTTAAATAGCGCATCATTAAAAAAATTTTATTTTAATTGTCATGTTTAAATTCGATATTATTATGGCAAACTATTAATCCAAATTTATTCTTTGAAAAAGTATATAATCAAATATCCACAAAATAAATATATTCTACAAATTGTTCTCACAATAAATATATATATTGATATAAACATAGTTAATTAAATATCGCAGATTTGTATGATTATATAATCACATATAGTATATTCACAGAGAGATTAATCATTATTTAATATCTGATATAAAGAACGCAGATATATAATATCATTTATATTAAATATATTTGTTTGTTTTACACTGTATTATGCATATGCATTCGGTTAAATATTGCATATTTATAATAGAACATCTTTAATATGTAATAAACAAATATACTCACATAAAGACATCTGCCAAATTATAAATTATTTTTAAACTCAAATTTCCCCATACATATAGTGTGATAAAATCACAAAAATGTTACGATATACTTACACCTAAACTTATATTGAAATTTAAACGCATGTAATGTTAATTTTTAACAAATTTAAGAATATAATAAAATTTATAATTAATTCTCTATTAGAATAGAGTATGTTATATCTTTTAAGTTCCGTATGCTTCCTAAGAACAGTGGCACTCGTAAAGGTTTGTATTCGACAACAAACATAAATGGACGACATACATAAAACTGGTCTTTATCTTTCGAGAACAATTTATTATAATCATAGATATCTGTAAATAATAATGTTTTATTGTAATATTTATACAATAATCGTTTTCAAAGACATCCAAAAATTATTCATGGATAAATACATTACCTTCTTCATAAGCAGTTTCTTGATCACTATGTGAACCTCTCTCGTTAACTTCTATGACAATATGTTGTAATATATTCACAGAATTTAATTCTGCTTCACATTCGTGTCCACAATCAATGTTCACGCCAATCTACAAGTAAATTTTTAGAATGTCTCTGAATTTCTTCTTCAATATCAGTTTAAAACATATTAACATAATTTTGCCATACTTTACGTAAAATATCTTTTAAATCTACAGTAGTTGCGACCTTAAATTTAGGTAGAGCTAATGTCAAAGACTTATTATATCTTTTACTATCTCTTAATGTTTGCCATTTAAAATTGTTTTCCAGAGTCTGTAAATTTATGCGTTTATTCGGTAATAATATTATCATTGCCAGATCTGAATTCTGTAAAAGAGTTATATGATTAAATTTTATTCTTTAACATTTTTTAAAGAATGATAATTACTTACCAAGTATGGAATTTCGATGAATCTGGAACGCCAAGATGATATAGTTCCATAATTATATGTTGCATTTTGTAACATTAGCGGGACCAAATATTTTTCCGTTTTTGAAACATGAAATTTCCCTTGCCAATTATTTATTTCGTTAAATGGTCGTAACCAACTGCTTTTAAAGCGCATAGTATTTACCAACAAAAATTTTGTATCTTGATCGATATGTTCTGTTTAAAATATTTAATTATTGAAAATGCCTTACATAAATCATAATTTCCTTAAATTCAATGCAATTATTTAATTAAATGTACTACCTGGAGAAATTACGTTTGACATCTTCATTGCATTCCAAATCAATGAATTAATAGTTTCAATAGCACGTACACTGCTGAAATCTGTTATTGTAATATAACATTTAAAGTCACGTTTGCAAATTAATGCAAAATTTGTATCTGGAATTGTACGATAATGAATATATACTGCATTTTTACTCTGAATTTCGTCTCTCATTTTCTGAAACATTTATTTTAAATGTGTTATTTTTGAAAAGAATAATGTATTATAATTTTTATTCTTTATCTTACATGTAAATGATTGCGCAGCTCCTCATATAAAAAATCATCAAATCTCATTATTTCACTATTAATATTAAGAATAGATTTTAAATTATTTCCTGTATTTTTATCCGCTACAGTAGAAAGTAAAGACAACATTGTATATATATTTAAAGAACAAACTATCACGTTCTTGTCGGGATTTGCTGATAAAACACTCTATGATTAAACACAATTAACAAGTTAGAAAACTCAATGCTTATACATATAAAATATCAAATGCATTGATTACGTACCGTATGCAAAAAACTTGTAAAGTTATTACGCAATGTCGATACAATGTCAAAATCGTCTTGCTTATTTATTAATATATTTTCTTTTTCAACTTGCTCAATTAATATATTTGCGTTTTCATTTTGCACATTTAATATATTTTCTTCTCCATCAAACATTTGGAAAATATCAGAAAACATTTCTAGATTGATATCATCATCGATAATATTCGATGATACTGAATATATTAAGATGATAATCGTAAACAATTCTGCAAAGAATATGTTTGACACAAAATTATAAGGAGTTTTCTCATCTATTAAAAATAATACTAATAATATATTAAACAAGAGAAATATAGATATGTACATAAATATATATACACACACATTAAACATGAGTATATAATATTGTATAACTATATGTAATTATATTAGAGAAAATATTTTTGAATAAATTGACATATAATTACCTTTCCACAAGAACATCATGGCAACTACAATTTTACGATTTGTGTATGAAAATTATATATTTCGACTAAAATAAAGGCTAAGTTATTAAACTAAATTAATACATATATCATTAAATTTATATGCATTATACGTATATATAATAGCTTTTTGAATCTTTATACTTTGCAAGCGTTAAATATTCAACTATTATTTAAAATAACTATTTAAAATATTTTAAAAATCTAAAAAATTTAAATATTTAAAACTTATTAACTTGTTATTATTATGTTATTCAATTTTAATCAAAAATTCTGTATATATAAGATTCTAACAGTGTTGAACCAGCTATTAACAAGAAATATTGTCAAAAAAAATCGTAGAGAACGTCATGTTTTTTCACAAAATTCAGGTGAATCTTACGTGGTTTTACAGATAATCTCGAATTTTGACCAACAACGTCGAACTCCAATTTTTGAGAAGGATTTCCAGTTTAAATGAGATTTGACTGCTATATTTCGAGACAGTTCGCACAATACTGATAGCACACACTGTTTTACATTTTCTACCTGTGTCCGCAACTCGTGACCTGTGTTAATAATCGTCGTCAGAAATGTTGTCATCAGTAAAACCTCAAGTCAGGAGACCGGGATTATAAAGCAAAAAAAGTTGATAAACTTTTCTTTTACTGTTTCTTATAAATCGGATAGATACCACAAAAGACTTTTTCGATAGCTGTGTTTATATTATCAAGTCATGTTTCATACGAATATATATATATATATATATATATATATATATATATATATGATTTATTAGTTTATAGTTATAGAAAATATCATGAGATGACATTTGTAACAATCAATTTTATATACAAAATAGATTGTTACAGTAGAAAAAATGTTGTAAAAATATCATTTTATTGTTAGTAAGAAAAATATGCAAGAATTATATTTATTTTGCAATAATTATATTTATTATATAAAAGTATAAGTAATATTTCAAACAGTTATATTATTACAAAAATATTAATTTATTATAAATATAAAAAAACTAAAAAATTTAGAAAACAAAATAATAACAAAATGGAATCATATTTCTCTTCTTTCTTATAAGTTTAATTGTAATAATTATAATGTATTATAATAATTATCGCATACGTGACGATGATTAGGGATAAAAGATTGGAGATTCGATGTTATGTTTAACCAAAATTATATCTCGGACGAAGATGAAGAAAATTTTCTATCTTGAATTTTTACACAATTAAAGTTCAACACTGCTAGCATCTTATATTAAATAAATATAATTTTTGATCAAAAAATTGAAACATATATAATAATAATATGTAAGTTTTCAATTTTTTAATTTTTCAAATTTTTGAAGTATTTCAGATAAATTAAATAGTCATTTAAAATGGTTTAAAGTGTAATACTTACAAAAAAGTAGGAAATCTAGACAACTATACTACTTATATAATATAATACGTATATTTAAATACATGCTTATAAGCATGTATTTAAATATATATTATAAGCTTAATAATATAAATAAGTTTATTATAATCCTTAATTAATCGAATAACAAAATAAATAACTAGCAAAATAAATTTTATGTTTCCGAAATGAAAAAGTATTTGGTCCCTCTAATGTTTCAACATGCAACATTATGGAACTTGGTAAGTATAATTATCATTCTTAAAAAATGTTAAAGAATTAAATTTAATCATACAACTTTACAGAATCAAGATCTGTGTGGTAATGATAATATTATTACCGAATAAAGGCATAAATCTACAAACTCTGAAAAACAATTTTAATTGGTAAACATTAAAAAATTGTAAAAGATATATTAAATCTTTGACATTAAATCTACATAAATTTAATATAGCAATTACTGTAAAATTTTAAAAATATTTTACGTGAGGTATAGCAAAATTATGTTAATATATTTTAAATTGATATTGAAGAGGAAATTCAAAGACATTCTAAAAAACTAAAACACTTATTATAGATTGGCTTGAATATTAGATGCGGAAGAAAATGTGATGCAAAAATAAATTCTATAAATGCATTACAAAATATTATCATGAAAATTAATGAGAAAGGTTTGCATATAGTAAAAGAAACTGCTTATGTAGAAAATAATGTATCTTAAATAATTTTTAGCAGTTTTCGAAAACGATTACTGTGTAAATATTACAATATAACATTACTGACTGCAAATTCCATCTATGACTATGAAGATTTGTTCTCAGATGATAAAGAGTGATTTTTTGTAACTCGACCGTTTATGTTCGCTATCAAACACAAACCTGCTGAAATGTTACTGTTCTTATTTATGGTGATATAATGTGTTGCTATGTAATTAGATTATTGAAGAATTAAATAGTATCAAATAGTATGTAATAATTTTTATATAAAATTGAGAATGTGTGATTTATGTTTGCAAATATATCTGATGTTTGCAAATATATCTGATCAACATTGTCAACATTGGCGAGTTTAAAACAACGAAATTAATATAGAAGTAAAAATTGAAAAATATAAGTTTTAAGAAAATTTAATATACATTTTAGATATGTATACTAAAATAAAACAAATATCGCTGTGCGTACGCATTATCTCATTTTATTATAAGAATATTTATATTAGAGAATATTATTCATTATTTTATAATCCAAATTAAATTTTAAAAATTATTTATAGAAAAATTATATAAAAATTATTTTATCTATTTAAAAAATGTAAAATAAAAAATTTTAAAAATTTCAGAGAAAATTTTATATTTTAAATATATTGTTGTAATATACTCTGAAAAATATAGAGGAGAGAAAGAGAGAAGCATCTATTTCTATTATGCACATAAATTTAATTTTGCCGTACCTATTTCTTTTATGTAAATAATTTAAAATCGCTGAATTTCCATTATGTACATAATTATATTAATTTTTTTTATAATTTTATTTTTCCTAATATTAGTATTATTTTTCCTCGGGTTAGTTTTATTTTTCCTCAGGTTAGTTTTATTTTTCCTATAATATTAGTTTTTAATATTAGTTAATTAAAAAAAAAAGAAAAGTTACTGCAGTAATTTTCTCCCAGAAAATAAAGAACAATTTAATGCTCAGCATTTAAGCATTTAAATATTATAAAAATTTTTTTACATAATATATATTCAACTTGATTATATTTATTCAAAATAAGTGTTATACAATATTGTATTCAAATCAGATATATTTCACAATGAAGGTTTAATTTGCGATTGCAAGACAATCGCGATTGCAGAAAATTGAAATAGGATCAAATTCAAAACTTTTTTAATTTGTCTTTTTCCAATTTCTCTCGAATTTGTGATATATAATTTATTCTGTAAATATAGATTAAATTTTTATTTTTAATAACGCAACATTCGAAAAACAACTCTAACGAGTGTTGAAAAATTCAAACGGTGTCAATTCTATCTATTTGCTATTCCGAGAACAAACGTTTTCTTTCTCAACACTTACACGGTGTCTCGAACTAATAAGAATGAAATGTTGTCAATGAAAATGACAGAAATGTTACATTACGTAGATAATTAGTCGAAGAAAACAGTATATCTACTTCTCTCTCTCTCCTCTTTTTTCAGAATATTACGACGAATATATTGAAATATAAAATTTTCACTGAAAAATTTTTTATTTTTTTATTTCACATTTATTAAATAGATAGAATAAATAATTTTTTTATTTTATAATGTATAAATAATTTTGAAAATTTAATTCGGATTATAAAATAGCGAATAGTATTTCTGATTTAAATATTCTTATAGCAACAATGCTGTACAGCTCATTTTTCAAACATTATTTGGATTACGTGTGTAATATGCATCAATAAATTATTATAGGAAGCTTAATAAGATGCATAATGTATAATTACAGAGAGAGACACACAATATTTTAATAACCACATACTGAGGTGCACCAGTAGCATAAATATTGTTAAGTACATGAGTCAACTTAAAAACACTTATTTCCACTCGCTCTATAAATAAATAACTGTATACAAATGTATATAAATGTATCGTATAAATTCGACAGAGACGTGAAAAGAGACAAATTAATTAAATTTTAGACAAAAACTTAATTGAAAGTGATACTTGATTGTTCGGAAAATAATAAACAAAATTAATTTGTTTTCTAAATTATAAATATGTTAAACGCAATATTAATTTTTATTATATTCCTAAAGATAACAATCATTATTTTCCGAACAATGTAACATAAATAAAAAATAAACTCACATTGCGTTGAGTCGATTATCTAACCTCTCTGCTTTAATATATCCCCTTTAATGTTCCACTGCTGCTCTGCTATAATCCCATATGGTTTGGCACTGATCACTGCACTATTTTTTTTTATCATTTTATATTTGCAATAATTATTTATCGCACTTCACTACACACAGATGCACTCCCGTTTACTCGCGCACGAAATCCAGACGAAAATCGCGGATGCTTATTCGTACGCGAATAAAACCGACGCTCCGTTTTCAGCGTCGCCGCTTTTTTCAAGGCCAATTATTTGCGGGCTTCATCAAACGATAATGGCGACCCCTGCGACGCACTCAGAAGTCGCTGATATTCCAGAATTGGGCATTACACGGCGTTCGCGATGTACGCGGAAAGCGAGAACTCGACAACCGACAACCTACGCACTGCACGTCCGACGCGAGACTAGTTCCAAGGTGACCCGCACGCCGGCGCATGCTACGCGTCTAGCGGGCTTGTAACGGCCTGATCCCAATAGCCAATCGCGAGGCTCGATACGTACGGAGTCTCGCGATTGGTGCGCCGTAGGGTTCTCCGATCCGTATATAAGAGCTGCGTTGAACGACAGGCCGGACAGATGCTTCTCGATGTTCTGCGTAGCTGGTCGGCGGATAATGCTCCTATTCGTCATGTTTGGTCATGGAAAAGGCTAAGAGAGAGAGGAAAAAACATTCAACCAGTCTTGCGCCCAAAAAAGATTGATAAGAAATCTTAATTATGGATTGGAAATAATTATAAATGGCTCTTTTTAGGGCCCCTAATTTCCAACGGAGGACGTCATTCGTTCGCAATTCTTTTCCTTTATATATTCTTTTTCTTTATGCAATTACATATAAATAGAAAATACAGATGATTGAATTGTATTATTTAAAACCAACGATTCTAAAACTAATTATTCAAAACAAAAATACTTATTGATTCTATATATTTAAATATCTTGCTGTATTAAAATATATAGATTTTATACATTTAATTATACATGTAACTATTATATTGAATCTCTATTATATTAATTTTTGAACAAAATTCATGTGTGTACATTTTGATTTAATATAATAGCTATATGTATAATTAATGTATAAAATCTATATATTTTAATATAGCAAGATATTTATATGTAGGTATATAGAATCAATAAGTATTCAAGTAAAATAGTTAAGATTATCAATAAGTATTTTTTTTAATAATTAGTTTTAGGATCGTCTGTTTTAAATAATAGAATTCAATCATATGATTATGATTATATAATTATTTCACACATTTTCTTCAAAAATTCATGTGTGTACATTTTGGTTTAATATAATAGCTGTATCTATAATTAAATGTACAAAATCTATATATTTTTATATAGCAAGATATTTATACATATAGAATCAATAAGTATTTTTTTGAATAATTAGTTTTAGGATCGTTTGTTTTAAATAATAGAATTCAATCATCTGTGTTTTCTATTTATATAATTGTAAAAAGGAAAAGAATTGCGAACGAATAACGTCCTCCGTTGGAAATTAGTGGCCATAAAAAGAGCCGTTCTAATTATCGTCAATCCATAGTTAAGATTTCTTATCGATCTTCTTTGGTAGCAAGACCAGTTGAATGTTTTTTCCTTTCTCTTAGCCTTTTCGCTTTTTCTATGACCAGACATGACGAATAGAAGATTTGCGGTTATCGAACGAGAGATCCTTTATCGATGTGATCGACGCGATGGATACGACGCTCCAATATGTTCTGTGAAGCACGCAAGCTTCGCCACGCTATTTATACTAAGTAGCGGTACCTTGAGCGGACCAATGGCGTGCTGTATAGCCACGCCGCGGCACGTGATTGGCCGCTCGAAGTACCCGCAACTTAGTATAAATAGCGTGGCGAAGCTTGCGTGCTTTACAGAATATATTGGAGCGTTGTGCGCATCGTGTTGGTCATATCGATAAAGGATCTCTCGTTCGATAACCGCAAATCTTCTATTCGTCATGTCTGGTCGTAGAAAAAGCGAAAAGGTTAAGAGAAAGGAAAAAACATTCAACCGGTCTTACCACCAAAGATTGATAAGAAATCTTAACTATGGATTGACGATAATTGTAACGGCCCTTTTAAGGACCACTAATTTCCAACGGAGGACGTCATTCGTTCGCAATTCTTTTTCTTTATATATTCTTTTTCTTTATACAATTACATATAAATAGAAAATACATATGATTGAATTCTTTTATTTAAAACAAACGATCCTAAAATTAATTATTAAAAAAAATACTTATTAATTCTATATATATCTTGCTATATAAAATATATAGATTTTACACAATTAATTATACATATAGCAATTATATTAAATGAAAATGTACACATGCATTTTTCAAAAGTTCATATGTTCATTTTGAAATAATTATATAATCTTAGAATCATATGATTGAATTCTATCATTTAAAACAAATAATCCTAAAACTAATTAATAAAAAAAATACTTATTAATTTTATATATATATAAATATCTCGCTATATAAAAATATATAGATTTTTATACATCTAATTACATAACATGTAGCTATTATATTAAATCAAAATGTACACACATGAATTTTTCACAAATTCAGCTTTTTGATATATTTATTGATTGAAATGGAATCAATAAGTATTTCTGTTTTGAATAATTAGTTTTAGAATCGTTGGTTTTAAATAATACAATTCAATCATCTGTATTTTCTATTTATATGTAATTGCATAAAGAAAAAGAATATATAAAGGAAAAGAATTGCGAACGAATGACGTCCTCCGTTGGAAATTAGGGGCCCTAAAAAGAGCCATTTATAATTATTTCCAATCCATAATTAAGATTTCTTATCAATCTTTTTTGGGCGCAAGACTGGTTGAATGTTTTTTCCTCTCTCTCTTAGCCTTTTCCATGACCAAACATGACGAATAGGAGCATTATCCGCCGACCAGCTACGCAGAACATCGAGAAGCATCTGTCCGGCCTGTCGTTCAACGCAGCTCTTATATACGGATAGGAGAACCCTACGGCGCACCAATCGCGAGACTCCGTACGTATCGAGCCTCGCGATTGGCTATTGGGATCAGTCCCCCGCTAGACGCGTAGCGTGCGCCGGCGTGCGGGTCACCTTGAAACTAGTCTCGCGTCGGACGTGCAGTGCGCAGGTTGTCGGTTGTCGAGTTCTCGCTTTCCGCGTACGTCGCGAACGCCGTGTAATGCCCAATTGTGGAATATCAGCGACTTCTGAGTGCGTCGCAGGGAAGTCGCCATTATCGTTTGATGAGGCCCGCAAATAATTGGCCTTGAAAAAAGCGGCGACGCTGAAAACGGAGCGTCGGTTTTATTCGCGTACGAATAAGCATCCGCGATTTTCGTCTGGATTTCGTGCGCGAGTAAACGGGAGTGCATCTGTGTGTAGTGAAGTGCGATAAATAATTATTGCAAATATAAAATGATAAAAAAAATAGTGCAGTGATCAGTGTCAAACCATATGGGATTATAGCAGAGCAGCAGTGGAACATTAAAGGGGATATATTAAAGCAGAGAGGTTAGATAATCGACTCAACGCAATGTGAGTTTATTTTTTATTTATGTTACATTGTTCGGAAAATAATGATTGTTATCTTTAGGAATATAATAAAAATTAATATTGCGTTTAACATATTTATAATTTAGAAAACAAATTAATTTTGTTTATTATTTTCCGAACAATCAAGTATCACTTTCAATTAAGTTTTTGCCTATGTCTAAAATTTAATTAATTTGTCTCTTTTCACGTCTCTGTCGAATTTATACGATACATTTATATACATTTGTATACAGTTATTTATTTATAGAGCGAGTGGAAATAAGTGTTTTTAAGTTGACTCATGTACTTAACAATATTTATGCTACTGGTGCACCTCAGTATGTGGTTATTAAAATATTGTGTGTCTCTCTCTGTAATTATACATTATGCATTTTATTAAGCTTCCTATAATAATTTATTGATGCATATTACACACGTAATCCAAATAATATTTGAAAAATGAGCTGTACAGCATTGTTGCTATACGAATATTTAAATCAGAAATACTATTCGTTATTTTATAATCCGAATTAACTCGAATGCTACGTTATTAAAAATTCAAATTTAATTTATATTTACAGCATAAATTATATATCACAAATTCGAGAGAAATTGGAAAAAGGCAAATTAAAGAAGTATTGAATTTGATGCTATTTCAATTTTCTGAAATCGCGATTGTCTTGCAATCGCAAACTAAATCTTCATTGTGTAATATTTGATTTCAATACATATTGTATAATAACACTTGATAAATATAATTAAGCTGAATATATATTACAGAGAAAAATCTTTAAAATTATTTAAATGCTTAAATGCAGAGCACTAAATATTTTTTTAAATTTTTGATGAGGGAGTTACGTGCGCACTAATTATACCTGAATACAATTAAAGAATGCGTAACACTTTACATGTCAGGAGACGCGCTCTTGAATATGGCGTAAAATATCTGAGAAAAAAGCGCGTGAAGATCGATATTCGCATTTCCGCAATATATATAGACACTAACTTTGCAAGTGCGTGAATAGCAGAGATTACAAATTACAGCAGATCATTAATGATCACGTAAACATCTCAATGTTGAAAACGATATATCGATAAAGTTGATTTCGCCTAAAGAGCAAATTTCCTAGATATTGTATAAATATATAATACACATTATTAAATGCATTCATAAATAATTTATTCGCTCCTTTAAAAACGAAATTTAAAGTATTTTTACGTTATGCGGTCAAATTATTAACATACATATATGATTTTTAATACAATTGATTATTATAAATACATCTTAAGACTGATTTTGCATAAATTTCTATCTACTTAAATAAATAAAGTTACGCAAAATATTTATTTCGATAAACAGCAGTCACGAAATGTTTAATTGCTTAATCGAATTAAATAATTGTGCAAATTGATACTTAATGAATCACTTGTATACTATGATTGTGTGTGTGTACTTTTCGCGATTGTGTTTCAAAAACTAAGGTCCGTTCTACAATATTATACTATAATTATAATAAATAGAATATTTCAATTAAATATAACAGTACATAAATATCACACACATGCAATCTCAATTATTAATAAATACAGTAATTTATTCACGAATAACTCTGGCATATCACCTTTAAACTTTTTTTAAAGGAGCGACTGAATTATATATGAATGCATTTAATAATGTGTATTATATGTATACTTATATAATATTTAAGAAATTTGCTCTTTAGGCGAAATCAACTTTATCGATATATCGTAAGTTTTAAGCACGGCCTGGGATGGCCGTGAGATGGCGAGACGTGACCCGTGAGTCGTCTTGTACAAGACTGGAAAATGGCGATATCTGTTGCGATAGCTCTAAGCTCTAGAGTACATTTTCGCTCACGATAGTTGACCGGTAGTAGTATTTCGGAGACAATACAAGTGCGTGAGATTCGCCGGCGCGGCGATTCGAATATACGAACGGAGAGCGTCGCAGTTGAATGTAGAGTGCGACAACGATTGGACAACGACCGATCGATTTTCGTCTTACGAACACCTTCGAGATAAAGTAAGTCGCAACGATTGTCAATATGCACGGAATTGCGGAAATTGAAAATACATTTTTTTCGGCAAGTTCGATTCTCAATATTGTATATGCAAAAGTCTTGGATAGAATGTATCTCGCAACAAGTCATCGTTGCTGCTGGATTCTTTTTTTCACTGATATATACCTACAGATCATTTTTGCGTGACATTGATACAAGTCGTCGTTACTGTTGGATTCTTTTTTTCACTGATATATACCTACAGGTTGTTTTTGCGTGACATTGACATTGAAATCTGAGCCGGAAAATCCGCGCTATTGTTGCTGCCCGCGCAATGTTTACAAACGAGCCTTGGAATTGAATCTTGTATCGGATTTAAATTAATTTATTCAATTAATTAATTAAATAATTAAAATATTTTAGTGTGAACATTTTGTTCATTAAATTTTTGATATTATATATTCTAATACAATTCAACAAATTTTTTTAACATAAAAAAAGAGTAATTATTCGCGATAATTTTTTTGTGTTAAATATTTTATTCTTGCTTTGTTCCATCAGATCAAAATATTGAAAACTTTGCAAAGTTGCAAAATGAATTATTTTATTGTATTTTATTATATTATGCCTACAGTGTGTGTGATGAAGATGTTGGAGTTTGGTTGCAATCTAAATTATGTTTTTAAGTCTTTCATTTCTCAAAAGAACTTTATTGTCTATTATTAAGGTTATTAATAATTAAATATTATAGGTATTATATTTAAAATTAATATTGAGAAGATTTTTGGTTAAATATTATAGATAAAAATATTTATGATTAAATATCTTATAAAAAAATTGTGAATTGGATTATTGAAGATCTATCAAATTATTTTTAGTTATCAAATAATTTTTAAATTATTTAAATCTCTGAATACGAATCTGATATTACAATTGATCAAACAAAAATTTTTGCATGATGGATATATTTGTTCAAAAAATTGAATATTTTTAAATTTTGATAATTGCTATATTAATTCCGTTATTTTTTATTTGTGAATTTTAACAAATCAATCGCAAACATTGTATTTAATAATGAATATCTTATTAATAGTAATTGAATTAATAAATTCTTTTTAAAGAAAAGTCTGTTGACTTTGATTGCAATAAAATTTTTCTAATTAATACATTTTATATGCCGTAGTATAACATGATAAAATACATAACATTTGAAAATAGCTCATCTTTGCAACTTATGTTAGACATTTTTCAAAATTGTGATGTCATGGAATGTATTGAAGATTGGAATCGTATTTAACATATATATTGAAAATAATTACGGATTATTATTTTCTTCCTTGTGTCTTTTTTAACAATATAATATATAATTGTCTATTAATTTTATTGAAATCAGATATTAAATGAATATTAATTAATGGCTGTGTGCCTTTCTGAGAGAAACTTGATGTATTTTCTCTATATATTTTCATGGAATAAGTTACGATTTAATTAAGCTCCAATTTCACTCAAATTAATAATATATTTACTCGTATATCATATATCTAGAGAATCACTCTCCTCGTGACAATAGCTTATTGGAAATGAGATTTTGCGCTTAATATTAATATTTGAAAAGGCATAATAGCATAAAAAATAGATAATATTTATATAAACAGCATTTCCTGAAATTTTATCTGTAATACGATTAGCAAAGGCAAAAGTCAGTTCTGCATTGCAGGATGACGTACAAAACGTTGACATTTCGAGGCAATAATAATAAGGTTCTCATCAACAAATGCAAAAGCGAGAATACGAAATTATATACGAGAACGCTTCTACAGTTCGCGACGCTGTTAACAGGGTAAATTCTTATCGCCCTTGTCGTTTACTTGGCAAATGCACGATATAGTATGAATGCAACCCAGCGAACGAAAGGACTTTACAAAATGCCGTGAATGAAATGCCGCGATGAATTTGTCGAAAAAGTGAAAGACGCGAAAAAACGGGTCAAGCAAAGTTTAATCAGCACGTATATATTTTCTGAATAAAAAAATCTTTATTATATGCGATCGTGTTATTCATATAAATGTTTTAAATGCATTGACACATTGCGCTATATACGCTATCTGCAGCGCGATAAATTAGATTCTGTGAAGAAAGCGATGTGCGGACCAATTCCTCCTTAATTAAAACGCAGCTGAGAATCGTCCAATTAATTGTTTGTATATTACTGATTCCCTGTCACGGATAATGTAATCAGTGACGAGACTATTTAAACAGATCGTAATGGATTCTTGTTTACAATTACCGAAAATGGAAAAGCGTCTTTAATTACATAGTTATTATTGAACAAATTGAATATTCGCGGATCTCTTTTCTAAATTAAGCTTGAAGAGGCTACTGGATTCGTTGAATTGGAATACGAAATGTAATGTTTCAGCATATTTTAAGCTCATATTATTGTACTTTGATGAAAACTTTAGTTTGATTAATATCCAATTATATCGAGAGAATATTATTGAAGATTAATTATTTTTTTTAAATTTATATAAAGACTTATTTTTCTGGCTAATTTTGAGAATATTTAACGCGTTGAAAATTTAATAAAAATTACACTGCGAGAAATGAAAACAGCCTTATTTAAAATGTATATTAAGGACAAATTGAATTCGCAATCATCAACGAATTTCTATCTTAAGATGCTTATTGCGAATACAAATGAACTTTAATATTGAAGCACAAGGCAAATGCGATTCATTAAAAAATTGCAGATAACGTGACGCAGCAAATCGCATCCATTTACCGCAGTATATATTTTTACATCTGTTTTTTCTTTCGTATGGAAAAAAAACAACTATTGTGATTAATCACACATCGCGAATTGCCTTATCGCTACGTTCGTTTCCAATAAATAAATGTCATGGAAATTCAGTTGGCATATTTCGATCAACTTGTCAACGCTTGAATATCCTCGTATTTCATGGTTATCATTCAACGAATAAG